AAAATACTCATTTGCCTAATAATTCTGCACTCCCTGTATAAAAAAAATAAAAAATCATCTCTCAGACAAGAATGAGGCATCCAAAAGTCCAGCAGCTGCTCACCTCAGTTTATAGACTTTTATGGCCTGTTGTTAAAAGAAGACATCATGCTACCCGGTGCTAAACATCTCAATCTTTGGGAAATGATCATATTTATGAAATTTGCATATTATTACATTCTGTTTTGATTTAGATTTATAAGTGCATAGGCTAAGTGGTCCAGCTCAAAAGGAACTTGTGCTCCAAAAAACAAAAACATCAAGAACAAAACAAAGTTGCATACAAGTGTGAACCAATGACAGTGCTCCCATAAAGACCTGTCAATTAATATGTGCATCCAGCCTTTACATTTTTGCTATCTTGCGGCTGCAGTCAGCTATTGTCCCTGAAAACATATTTCAATCTCATAACAAAGTCTAGTTCTCTCTCTCTCTCTGAGGGTGTGTCCATTACCCCTTAACAATTACTGGAGCTGGGCAAGCTGAGAGATCAGCAGCTTGTTTCTAGTGGTTTGCACAGACGCATTGTGAATAAACCCCTGGTCTGTGTTGGTAAACTGAGAGGAAAGCAGCGTGCGAAGGAAAGTGCCACGGGTTATCTTTGGCTGCTCTGAGATCTGTTACGACCTGGGCTTTATAGAGAAATACACATAGCATTAGCAAGTAGATGAGATTCAGTGATTCAGCATTGCAACAGATTTTCCTTCTGCTAACCACCATTGTTCAACATGTGTCATGTAGAGAAGATGGTGTTTGGTGGTGTGACAATAAAAAAAGAGGGGCTGGCAGTTCTGACCATGTCTGATCTAATAAATCAGGCAAATTGAGCAGAGACACAAAGTATTCTGTGCAGGCTGACAGCGAAACACTTTACCCACTGAGGTATTATTGGCACAGCATGGTCAGGATCTCCTTATCAACACCAACCCTGCCACTCTGGAGCTCTACAGAGCTACAGGTATAAAACTGCTTTAAACTGGTCACATAGTTACTCCCTGTACACATGGCACAAAATGAATGGTAAAAAGTGCCAAAGTGCACAGTAGCATTAAGTAATTCTATTAGAGTACCCTAATTCACCCAATCTCTCTCTCACACACACACACCTTGTATATTCCCTGGTTGCAGCCATTGTAAGTATTCTCCAAAGTATAACTTCTCAGAACTCCCATTTCCCTCCAGACAACCACTCTGGCTGTAGCAGAGCGAGACTTCTCTACCTGACAGGTTAAAATCAGAATTAAGGGTAGGTAAGAGAATATGGCCCATATAATAAGAAAAATAATGAATGTAACTATTCACACATTAACAAATATAAACAATACATGACAATAACAGTGATAGTGGTGTTGATGAGGTATGATACATGAAGATGGCTGAGATAATGCTTTATTTAACCTGCTGTTCCAGGCAGAGATATTTATTTTATACAACTGACAGTGTTAATAATAAAGAAGTTAACAGTGACAACAACTACAACTTTGCTTACAATACTGAGAAGGATAACAATATGAATTAATTAGTAGTTGTATTTAGTTGTACTGACAACTACGCTGTGGATTTATTATATGCAGTGATTTTCAAAATGAGAATTATTATTAGTATTGTAACTTTTACCAAAAAGTTGCAGCTGTTGAAAGAAAAGGTCGGTGCGATACGATCCAAGGTCTTTGGAATGGTCTAGAAAGGCGATGAGAATGATAAAGACAGCGAGAGAGAGAGATGGAGAGGAACAAAACATTTTATCTGGTTTCAGAATTTGAAATACTGCTGCTGGTGAACGAGTAGAACAAAAACAGAAACCCCTATGGCCTGCTTGGCTTTGTGTGTGTGCTTTTCTTACCCTATATCCAGGATCCTCTTTCAATCCTACAGTGTCAACTGCAGAGCCAGACTGCCAGAGAGTCTCCTTAATGCTGCAGCCATACAGGAACACATTCTTTTTTCGAGAGTGGCCATGGTAGTCACAGAAAACCTAGTAAATATGAAGAAAGAAAGAGCTTATGCATTTGGACAATAAAATATTTTGATTTGTGATTTTGCCTATGAAACCAAACAGTGCATTTTAAATCAAACAATTAATGTGTGATTAAAGTACAGACTTGTGGTTTTAATTTAACGGGTTCAACTGAAGTGTTCACTGTTTAGATATTACAGCCTAATACTTAAACGACAAATTCAGAATTTCCAAGACAAGAACTGAAAGGCTGCGAATACTTACGCACATCTTTTTTTTTGTATGGTACATTTTACAACGCATTTTTGATTAGAATTTTTAATAAAGCTGTGAATAATTTTTGGATCTAATGTATGTAGATTAACTAATGTGTGAAAGTGTGTCAAACATGCAGGACAGATATTTAGCAAAACCAAAGAGCTTAACATTTCAAAAAGAAAACATTACATAACAGCATGTGTATCTCACCACTGGAGTCCGTCCTATAATGTTGAGGTAGTAGAGAAAGCCTTTGGTGTGGTAGATGGTTGGACTCAGAAGAGGGTCTGGTTTACTCCACTGACGATTCAGATCTTTGCTGTTCAGGTCACAGCGATTTCTGAGGAGACAAACAACAACAAAAACAAATACTTGCACTGTAATTCATTTGTGAGGGGTAAATCTGTGATATATACCAAATACTGTAACGTTACTTGTTGTTTGGCTGAATAATAGTGTCCTTCAGTAGCAAAGTACTGTTTGTTGTTGAGAGGTGGGACAGAGAGACATGGATGTTATGAAGTGCTATAATTGAGTTTATCTAGAGTTGTTTGAAAAAGTGTTTGCCCCTTTCCTGATTTCCTATTTTTATATCATTTAAATATTAGACAAAGATAACACAAGTAAACACAAAATGAAGTTTCTAAATGAAGATGTTTATGATTGGGGAGGGGTGAGATATCTTCATGGCCCCATGTAAAAAGTGATTGCCCCTAAACGTAATAGCTGGTTGGGCCGCCCTTGGAAGCAACAACTGCAATCAAGCGTTTGCAATATCTGGAAAAGTCTTTTTGGAATTCAGAAATAAGTCTGAAACTTAAAGGGTGTACCTTTAAGACAATTAGTCTTAAAGGTACACCCTGTTTATGTATCTTTAGTAAACCATACAGACTTGGCGTGTCTTCCCTTGGGTATAGCCTGTGGTATGAGGTTCCGTCAGTAGTATTTTCTTGTTCTGACTGCTTCAGACAATCTATCACCCTCTTCCTGTAACCACTTGCTGGGTCTCGTTTCAAGTATTTTTTTCACTGAACTGTGACAAAATGTTCTAATGACAGTCTTTCTGGTTCAGCAAAACCATATATCTGTATGATCAAGACGCTCTGCCAGGCTTCTTGGGAAACTCAGGAAACTGTTGGGTTACTTTGCAGTTTGCTTTGGATCATTATTCATCTGCACTGTGAAGCTTTGTCCCATCAGTGTTGCAGCATTCGTCTGAATGTGAGCAAAGTGCAGTCCCGAAGACTCTTCATCCTGCTGCTTCTATCAGCAGTCAATGAACACCAGTGCCGAGGCTGACTGGCGGCCATACATACCCATCCCATAACATTGCTTCCACCATGTTTGACAGATGATGTGATGTTTTAGATTATTAACGGTTTCTCTCCTCCTCCTTACTTTCTGGCACAAGTTCATCTGGGGTTCTGTTTTTTTTTTTTTTTCGTATTTACTTTCATAAATGCATCCCTTGATTGCAGACTTCATAGCCTGACTGTGATTTGGTTAAGTAAAGGTTAAGTAAAGACGTTATTATTTCTGATAGATTTTTTTTTTTTTACCTCCTTCACTCCTTGCTTCATTTCTTTGGTCCTCATTTTGAAATGTGTTTTGCGTCTCTGAAAATTAAAGTTTTTGTATAGAACTTGATATATTTCTTGAACAGTTAATGCCATATTTTTCTTAAATCCTTTCAATTAAAGCTGAAAGTGTGTGCTTTCCAATTGCATCAGAACTATTTGTACACCACCACAGTGGATTTCAGAGGTAAAATTATGAGAATGTTCAAACTGTCAGTAACTCATAAAGCACAAAAATGACAAAAATTATATCAACAGTGAATGTTATTGTAATATTGTATTGCAGTTACATTAGCATATGCTACCTGCAGCATTTCATTATTAAGAAGCCTAGTGTAAGTGCAGCCAAGGGCATTGTTTCCTTACATGTTTCAAGTAAAGTAAAAGTGTATATTATATAATTTTTTTAACCATTCCAACAATGTTCCTGCTCCTCACTCACGTGCCATTGATGACTCCATCTGGGTTGAGCATGGGGATGACCTTAAAGACGAAGGCCTCCCTGAGACTCTGGGCCACCAGGTCATTGCTGCACAGAAACTCCAAAGTGCCCTTCATCACCCAGCTGGCATTGGACTCACCAGGATGCACACGGCTGGTCAGTACAATATAGGGGCGATTACCTAGGAAAATTATTATTACACAATCATCAGTTTGCCTAATGATATAACATATTGAACAAGGAAGTTAGTTTCTAGACATCAAGCATCAAACCATTTCAGGTGACTACATCATGGAGCTCATTGAGAGAAGAGAAGGGTGTGCAGCTCTGTCAACAAGGCAAAGGGTGGATACTTTGAGGAATCTAACATATCATATTTAGAGCTATTTATCCTTTTTTGTTTGCTACATAATTCCATATATCTTGCTTCATATATTTGATGCCTTCAGTTTGTATCTACAATGTAGAAAGTAGTAAAAATAAAGAAAAAAACATTAATTGAGAATGTGTGTCCAAACTTTTGGCTAGTAGTGTAGCTTTGTCTATTCATGAAGCCAGATGAGACACATCAATTAAACTGCAGAAATGTCTTAAAGACATAAAGACCTGGATGATACAATACCCTAGGAATATGTGATTCCTAAGGTCTTTCAAAGCAGAATGGGAGGCAGAGCCTTGAGCTTTCAGGCCCCCTTTTTATGTAATCAGCTCCCAGTTTGGATTCAGACACCCTCTCTACTTTCAAGACTAGGCTTAAAACTTTCCTTTGGTTACAGTTCAGTCTAGATCAGGTGAGTGTGAATCTCCCTTAGTTACACTGCAGTAAGAGTGTTTCTTCTTTACTCACCTCTTTTTACTCCCCATGTCTTCATACATAACTCTGCATTTAATGATTAATTAATCTCTGGCTCTCTTTTACAGTGCTTTTTCTTTCTTTTATTTGTCCTGTCCATCTCCCTTCACTCCCAACTGGTCGTGGCAGATGACTGCCCCTTCCTGAGCCTGGTTCTGCTGGAGGTTTCTCACTGTTTAAACAGATTTTCCTTTCACACTGTTGCCATAGTGCTTTTTCATAGGAGTTAGTCTGACTGTTTGTGCTTTCTCTGTACTATTCTAGGATCTTTACAAGATAAAGTGCCTTGAAGTGACTGTTGTGGTTTGGCGCTACATAAATAAAATTTAATTGAAGAAGACATTTGGTGATTCTTCTGGCTTCATCAGTAGGTGACCTCCACTGGAGCAGTTTGCAGCAAAGTATGAAGCAGTAGTAATGAGAATTATCACTTATAAGTCTGAGGCAATGACTCTCTGCTGTAAAAAGTTAGAATGCCTACTCTGCACATCTATGGGCAATTTAGAGTCACCAATTGATCCACTAACTACATGTTTTTGGGAGGAAGGCGGAGTACCTGGAGAGAACCCAGACAGATACAGGGAGAATGTTCAAACTCTGCACAGAGGGCCCAAAGCTGCTCCAATATGTTCTCATGTAGAGAAACATGACAGTATACATATGCATCTTAGAGTCTGAGTCTAACAACTGAAAATAACAATATTTTCTAGTGATAATTATATGTGAAAAAATGTAAACATTTCTCCACGCATATAGGGTTAGTGAGTGAGGTTGACAATTTCATGTGTTCACCATGAAATTGAAGAATCTGTTATGAATGTGTGACTGGGTGAATGACACTTGTAATAGAAAGTTATTTGAGTGCTCAAATTGAGTAGAAAGGTCCTTCATAAGTACCAGTCTCTCTACCATTCCAATGTGGCTGTGTAAACACGTAAGTACCCCTGACATGAGTAGTTCCTGGACTACAAAGCACTACTTACGCATCTGGTGCAGGTCTTTCCACCTTCTGCTGACTGGACAGGCAGTGATGGTAACTATTGGACAGGAGTTTCCAGCCAAAGTGCTACAAAGAGTCTGCTGCTTGAAAAACACCTTGGCCGGATCCACTGATTTCTGCAGTATTTTCAAGTGAGCCTGACAAAAATAACAAATATATACTTAGGTCTCTAATTATTTATAAAACAGATATATTTCTCTTGTAATTCTGCCTCTGTACACCAGAGCGGAGCTGAAGTCAAACAATCAAGATGTTTTTGAAATTCAGACTTTCGAATTTAATTCAAGGGGTTTAACAAGAGTATTACCTTAACTACTTAAGAATTACAGCTAATTTTGTACAGTGGGGAAAAATAATTATTGGATATTTGATTGGTGATATGTTTTGGTTCATGTCATGCTGAAAGACCCATCCACAACTCCTCTTCAGTGTTCTGGCTGAAGGAAAGGAGGTTCTCGTCTACACTTTTATGATACATGACCTTGGACCCTTAGCAGAAAAACTATTTCAAAGCATAATATTTCCACCATGATTGACTGTGGGGATTGTGTTCTTTGGGTCTGCATTTTGTTTCCTCCAAACACAGCAGCTCAAGTTGGTCATATCCTGCATCAGTTTTGATGGCTCAGGGCATGTCATTCATATCATGCCTGGTGAAAGAACTGTATTTAATGTTTCACGTTTGTTTCCTCCACAGATTGATGATCAGGTTGAGGGTTTAAATAGGATTAAAATACAGTATTGCAAATTTCATTAGTGACATTAAAACCAGTTGCGACCAGTGGTTTGATCCTGTATTGGGTGCCCCGGTCCTTGACAGGATTTTCTCCCTTTGAACTACAGTTCAGGATTTTTGACCTACTTAAAGAAAACTAGGAGAAAGTGCCAAGTCCTAGTAAATATCCAATTCAGTATCTTATGGACTTGAGAGAAAAACTTCCCACTTTCAGTAGGGTATGTGAAGATTTGCTGGTGATGGTGGTTTGATGGTTCCCAGCCAAAGTCAGGCTGTGGGAGTTATGTGCCAGTGGGGTGTGACTGCAGGAGGGAAAGGTGTGGTGCCAGCTAGGGAGGATGACACACCTGACATGCATCTGGTGATTAACCTTCCTCACTATATAGCAGCTGTGGAGGGAAAAACACAGAGCAAGTTGTGCAGTATGTTGAAAAGCAACAGAAAGAGTAAGCAATCCACAGCCAGCCATTTAAGAAAATGATGTATAAAAAGATGTACAAAATCTATACTGCATTGTTTTTACATTAGACTTAGACATTGTACTTATTTATTGAGTTACATTTTCCCCCAGAGGTTTAGAGAATAGAGCTAAAATAGTAATTCAGTTGTGGTAGGGAAGACCCAAATGCAGACAAAGTTTTTAAAAAAAGGTTTAAATATAAAAAAGCTGATTTACCATAGCCTGAATAACAAGATGACATAGGAGGGGATACAAATGAGGGTGAACAAGGGTGCACATAAAAACAGTGATTGCATGTCTGAACGGCTCATAGCTTAAAAAACTCAAAATTCATGTTTGTCGTCTGAGACAAAATAGTCTTTATAAACCAACTTCACATAGAACCTATAAAATTAAATTTTCTGCTTCATATTGATCAGTTTTTCCAGAACAAGAGTGTGGTGCAGAACTGTAGTAACTACAGGGGATAAAGCTGTTGGGGGTGGGATTTGGTCAGGGATCTGGTCTGAGCCCCTTCTCGTTTTCAGTCATGATGGACAGGTTGACTTGTGAAATCAGGCAGGAGTGGACTCTGATGTTTGCAGATGACATGGGATCTATAAGGAGCATATGGAGAACCTGGAGAGGTGGAGGTATGTACTGGAGAGAGAACGAATGAAAGACATTAGAAGCCAGAAGACCGAATACGAGGGAGCTGAGCTGAGGTAGTGAACGCCGAATAATTTAAATGAGGTCAATCATCCAAAGTACCGGACAGTACATGAGAGGTGAAGAAGGGAGTCAAGGCAGGGTGGAGTAAGTGGAAATGAGTATCGGAGGTAATTTGTGAAAGAAGCAGCAGCAAGAGAGAAAGGCAAGATTTACAAGAAGGTAGTGAGACCTGCTATGATGTACAGAGAGGCAGAGCTGAAGATGTTAAGACTTTCATTGGGAATGACAAGAAGATATAGGATTTGAAATGATTACATCAGAGGGACAGCTCAGGTGGAGACAAAGTTAGAGAGTAAAGGCTGAGATGATCAGGACATGTGCAGAGGAGAACTAGTAAATATATATACTGGATAAAAGATGCTGAAAATGGAGCTGCCAGACTGAAAGATTCATGGATGTAGTGAAGAATATGCAGGGGGTTGGTCTGGCAGAGGAGGATACTATGATAGGATGAGATGGGGGCAGATGATCTGCTGTGGTGACCCCTAAAGGGAGCAGCTGAAAGAAGAGATTTTATATTGACTAGCCTGCTTGTGACATCTCAGATGGCAGCGCATGATCTAAAATATAAAGAAAACAAAAAATAACGATTTTTCTGGTAATAAAAGAGTTCTTAGTAACCATCTTATCTGTCTTTGTAATATAAAATATTATAAAATATGTTCAGGTTATAGTTATGGGGCTTATGGTCGCTGTTAAAATAACAGAGATGGATTCACATTTGAAATTGTTTAACTGTGTCATCTGCGTGGCTTGATGCAGCTTTTCCCAACATGTGTATCGATATCTGTACACAAAGATTAGAGTGAGATACATACAGTCCAGATAACAATTATCAACAAATTCCACAAGAAAGGTGAGCTACTATTGAAAAGACTGGCAGCTTATCGGCCAAAGGTTGACTGCAGGGGGAAAGTGCGCTGCGAAAGGATGCACAAGCAACAGGGATGACTGCAGCCTTGAACTGTCTATTAACAAGCTTCCCGAGAAGTGGACTGAAGCTGGTGTCAGAGTATCAAGAGCCACCATAAACAGAAATGTTCTGGACAGGGACAGCAGATGTCACAATATCAAGAAACTCTTGAGCCAGAGAAAGAACTCAACTGTTGTCTTTTCAGATGAAAGTAAAACTTGCATTTCCTTTAGAAAATCAAGGTCCTAGAGTCTGGAGGAAGCACGGACAGACACAGGATCCAAAACGTTTGAAGTCCAGTGTGAAGTTTCTGCAGTTTAAGGTGATATAAGGTGCCATGTCATCGGCTGGTTTTGGTCCTCTGTTTTATCAAGTCATTATAGGAGATCTTAAGGCACTACAAGAGTCCATCAGCTGACAGACTTTATAGATATTCAGGCTTTGAGTGATGTGGGTGATATGCTATAATCATCAAAATCAAACAAACAAAAAAAGGTGTTGAAGTATTTCTTTGTGTAATGACTATAACATGTCACTTTTATGATTTAATGTTCATGAACTTAATTAGATTCTTGATTTTTTACACTATATATGTCACACTTTTACATATGCTAGTATATAGAAGTGTGAATTATACTGTATTATTTAACTGAGACTTGTATGATTTGAACCTCATCATAGTTTGTTTACACTTTTACACAGCTTCACAGCTTTATTTGTGATAGGGTTATAAACATTCTACAAAAACATTAAGTTTAAACTCTGACCAAAGTAAATAAACGGGATTATTATATGAAAAAAAAATACCATCAGAGCAGAATATGTGTAGGGATAATGGTAGGCCAGGTAGCAGACATCCTCACTGTGTTTGAAGGTGATGGTAAAGGTCAGGGTGTAAAAGGTAGTTCTCCTTCTGCCCTTTGCTGGACAAAAGTTGTTTCTGTTGGAGAAAATTGAGAAAAAAATGTTTTGTTATATGTAGACTATCTAAATCAGGGGAACTGATACAACATAGTCGAACAGTAGGTAATATTATAGCACACGTACAAAAATACAATGTTTTGGGAGGTTTTTTTCCCAGTCCACCAGATGGTGCTATTGACTGTTTTTCTAGTGAGGTCAGTGTGCCTGAAGCTGGTAAAACGGAGATGGAAGTATGAGAGAAATTCTTCTGTGTTTAAATAAAACATGTGGCCTTATTTTGGATTTTTAACATGACAAGATAAATGTGAGGAATGTATTTTGCACATACTGCTGCTTCCAAGTAAAACTGTACAATGGTGCAGCGATTGGGACTGCTGTGTCAAAGCAAAAATATCCTGGGTTTGAATCCAGTCTTGGGCCTTTCTGTGCAGAGATTGCATCTTTGCTCTGGGCACTCTGGCTTGCTCCCAAAGACATGCATGGTAGGTTAATTGCTGCTTCTAGATTGAGAGTGAATGGTTGTCTCTTTGGATGGATAGGCCTCTGGTAATTGCTACTGCTAACATCTGTTTTGAACAGCTGAAATCAGCTGTCAGTTACAGTTAGTCTCAGTGGGGGTTTTTAATGAATGAACTTCTTCATTTGAAGTATCTATTGGAGAATCACACATAGTTCTGTGCTTGACCTATGACTAATTTACACAAGTTTCAAACCCGTGTGGTTTTCTTTGCCCCTAATTAAATGTTTTTCGAGGTCTGACCTGCCTTCAGCAGCCTGCTAAAGCTACTCTCCAACACTTGGATTTCCAACATCTCTCTAATTAATGAAAAATATGTAAAATGTTTTCATACCTGAAATAACAAATTTCCGTTCCAGTACTGATCCAGTGTGGTCTACCTTCCAGGGCTTCTTTTACTGAGTACAGGACCGGCTGCATTCCTGCAGTACACACACACACACACACACACACACACACACACACACACACACACACACACACACACACAC